TGATAAAACCCTGTGGTACTAGAAATAAACCTGTTGGCTCTACAAGGGCGAAAAGTCTGCGGTTGGAACAGGATTTTGTTCTAAACAGGAGCCGAAGAGTTTGCTTTCTTCTCTTGGGGTGTGCGTTGAGCCCCTGGTTTTGGGGAGGAGCTGGGAAGTGTAGGTTCCGCGTTGCTCTCAGCCTGGTGGAAGACGGCGCTTGCAGAGCCAAGAGGATCGCCCTGCCTGGGAAAGGACTCGGAGAAGATTCGCTGCTCTGCTTTTCTGCAGGCACACACCTACCCAGGCTCCCTTTGGAGACTGCTGCATTATCTAGGATGAGGACATCCTCCTCCTATCAATACTACCTGCACGGACCTGCCCCTCCTCGTGCTGGCCTGGACTCTGGCTAAAATAACTCATGCGTAGCCAGAAGAACGGCTCTGGGTTGCGTTGCCCAAGCAGCAGAGCTCTCGCTGCCCTGTTGGAACTTTTGCAGGCTGTGTTTGGGAGCTGGTCCAGCATTGCTGCACTGGGGGGGTCTGGGCTTCCCGCAGACTGTGTGGGAGACCCAGCTGCTACCTCCTGCCATAGCTTGGCCCTTCTGCTGCAGCTGTGGAGAACAGGCACTTCTGGCCCTTGGGATGGGTTTTGCTGAGCTTGAGCTTGCAGGGCTGGCTCTGTTGCCCTGGAAGTCAGCTCGCTGGAGGGGAGGGATTGTCCCCTCCACGGCTGTGATCTGGGTTGTTCATTCTCTTGCAGGGCACAGAGGGCAAGTGCCAACCTGGGGGAGGGATGGCTGAGCAGCGGATCGCGCGTCTGGAGACCAACCGGTGCTAAAGCTCGTGCCGCTGCTGTGGGGGCCACAGGGTGGTCCTGAGCCCAGCTGGGCCTGTGCGTGGTGGGAGCATTGCCTGCAGGGATGAAGACGGGTCAAACTGTAGCAACGACTCTGTATTTCGCTGGGAGCTGGTCTGCAGCCTCCGAGCAGAGAGCTGTACTGGGCACGACTGGTGCGACGGGCTGGGAGGGGGGGTGCCCCCGGGGGTCGGGCGGAGCACCAGCCGAGTCCTCCGCGTGCTGGAGGCTGCTGCTGATGTGGGAGATGCTGCTCGACACTTGTCAGCTCCGGACAAGTCACCTCCCGGGGCCTGGCTGTGGGCTTGGGTTTGGGTTGAGATGGAAAGCATGAACAACTTGTTTAAACAACTCCTCTACTTCCATATTAGAGGCCAGATGCCCTTCCTGCCCCTGTGCTGGGGAAGGAAGAGGATGAAAACCTCCCCAGACAATCCTTAACCTCCTGCCAAACCTGCCGCTGCCTCCAGTGTGCGGTGCAAGCTCTGCTCTTGCCTCACTGGCTTGTGAAATGCCCGAGACTGTTTGTGTCTCGAGAGCTGACAGGATGGACCCAGAAGGATGGGGACAGCTGATAATTAATTAGGAGCTGTTGGTTTAATTAGCAGTGTCTCAGCATATTCGTGCATGAGGTCAGGGCACCAGGGGAGCAGCATGTCTTGTGAGCCTTCCTGCTTAGAGGACATGAGCTCTTTGCGTCTGCTGTTGTACCGGGCTGTTTCTGCGTAAAGGCTGTCAGTACAAAGGCCTCATCCAGCTCCTCTTTGGGGTCTCGCCTTTCTCGGTGTCTGCTTTTCATGGAGCTTTTCTAGGAATCACCCAGTCTCTACAAACTGATTGAGGGTAACTTGCTCTGTCTGCAGGTCTTGCTGACTCCTAGGCTTTCCGTCTTCCTGGCACCATCTGGTCCTGTTTTGCTGGGAGTGTGGGATAACCCCAAACCCATCTTCTTCATCTAGATCCAGGGCGGGGACTGGAAGATCTCGGGGCATACCAGAGCTTGTGATCGTTGTTGAACGCAGAGGTTCTCTCCAGGGCGGAGCTGTGCATCAAGCTGTCCTGCTGCCGCCCCAGCAGCCCGTCGAGCCGTCCGGGGCAGCTCCCCACGGCCGTCGGCTGGCGGTGGTTGGGGCTCAGCCCTTTTCCGGGGGCTGTGTCTGGCCCCTGGGGGTTGTGGAGCCAAGGGGCAGGAGTGGCTCGTTCCCAGCTCACCGGTGGCTCTCTGTGCCTGCAGCTCTCTGCACACAGACAGCAGCTTGAGGGAATCTAATTAAAACATGGTGATAGCTGCCTTCTGCGGCTCTGATGGAGAGGGGTGAGGAAAGGGGGCTCTGGCTTGCCGTGGCTGGTTCCCATGAAATGAAGGCTTCTCTGGTGTCTCTGATGCAGACTCGCTCGTCTCCACAGTGCTTTCTCCCCCTCTGCTCCCCGTTGCCTGGATCTAGGCGTGCAAAAGTTTTCCAAAGGACATCTCAGTCCCTGGGTACCCTCTGAGCCTGTTACGATTGCGTGCCCCGGTCCCTTGTTCTGCATGCGGTCGGTGCAGACGCACGGGGTGGCTTTGCCATCTGTCTCATCCCACGCTTGCAGGGCCAGGCGTCCCCTTCCTTGCAGCAGGGACGATGGGACCCTCCATGTCCAACAGACATGGCCGAGCCCCTGTGCTGACTCGAGTAGGCTTCAGCCAGCAAAAACCCGGAGCTGTTGGTGTCTCTGCTTGCTCAGGACACGGCTGGATTTTGGAGGGAGGGATGGGGAACATACAGCCTGCTGCTGGCAGGGGAGGGGGACGCGTGTCCTCTGCTTGCCTCTTGCCCGAGGTGCGATGCCAGCTCCGAGGAGGAGGGCAGCTGGCTGTGTCACCAGAAAAAGCCATTTGAATTCTAGGGCTGCTCTCCTTAAATCACCTTGGAAGAAGGCAGACGTGCCCAGCTCCTGGCATCTCTATTTTTACTTTGTGCGGAGATGGATATGGCTGAGCTGTCTCCTTTTATTTCCAGCGTTTGGCGCGTGCCGTAGCGCATTGCTAAGGACGTGTCTGGCTGGGAGCGAAGCTGCCCGCTTCCCTGGGTCCGCGGGGGACTGCAGAGGTGAAGGGCTCTTTGCTGCGTGGCTTTGTAGGTCACTTCTCGTCAGCTTGCTGCTCTTCGCCTCCCCCTTTCACTTCCCTTACAGTTTGTTGACTTTTTTTTTCTGTATTTATTCAAAGCAGCCTGGGTAAACAGGGAGCAGGAGCGTGGTGACTGGGGCCACTGGTAGCACTGGATTACAGAGGCATTTTTAATGGGTTGCTAATAACTGGATCTGGCCTGTTCTGATGGAGAAGCTTCTCCTGTTGCTCTGTCTGCAGCTTGGCACGGAGATTTCCTTGGAAAGGCTCAGACTGTGCATGTCGCTTCCTGACAGTCAGGCTGAGCCCCTGGGGTGGCCCCGGTTGCAGCCGCTCTGGCGGTGCCGGTTTGCCAGCCCTGTCCCCCCGACGCCATTTTTAGCTTGCAGCTGCCCCGGTGCGACGTACCTGAGCCTGCAGCTGCCCCGTGTCCCTGCCACGACAGCTGGGCAGGTCCCCAGCATCTTCCTCTGCCTGTGGCATGCTCATGGAAAGGCTGAGTTCATGGTCAGCTGCTCCAAAACCTGGTTAGGAATGAGATAAACAGTTTGACCTGTTGAATGATGCGCCGCGGAAACCTCCAGGATAACCCGAGGGGAACGAGAGCCCTGCACTGCCAGACTTCCCTGCTGTGGGGGTGAAATGGGGGGGCTCTCTGGCTGCCCTGGACTCGCTGCCCCCAGCGTTGCCCACCTTGGGAGGGCCTGGGGATCCGCTGGCTCCTGCGCTGGGACGTGCGATCCCAGTATCCAGCAGCAGCCCCACTCCCAGCCACAGGGCCCTGCGCTTGCTCAAAGCTGTCGTCCACCCAGTTTCTCTCCCGGTGAGGTGGGGGAAGCTCACATTTCTGGAGTAGGTTTGGATAAGATGCTCCGTAACTGGTCCTCTGCCACTTGAACTGCTCTGAGCCTTGTCCTTGTCTTGTATCTGGTGACTTGGTGTGTCTGGTAACTGTATGCTGGTGACTTTGGAGAGTGTAGAGGATAAGAGAGAGAGTTTCTCCACTGCTGTGAAATTGCCTTCAAGCTTTTTGGCTTGAAATGTTGCTTTCTGTTGCTTTGGTTGCCCTCAAGTGCCTGGAATGGCAGCCCCAGGGTGCGTGAGGGTCAGGAACATGGTTGGAGGGGGCTGCCCTCAGTGGGGATGCAGGATGGGGACGCCCGAGAGCCCCGGAGCTCTCCCTCCAGGAGCAATCCCTCCTCCGCAGGCACGGGCTGGCTGCGGCTGCACCAGCTTGGATTTCTGGTGGTTAACTGAGAAGCCCTGGAGCTGACATCTCCTGTGCCTTGTTGGGTAGCTGCAAGGAGACTTTTAGACATGGTCTGACTTTAGCTCTGATGGTGGGTG